TTTTTTTTTTTTTACTTACCTAAAATTCTGCCCAGTACAAGAGACTTGACTGCACTGAATTCTGTACCTGATGACAGGTGGACTTGTCTTCTTGCATTCTCGTCAATCTACAAAATTGTTACATGAGATGCAAACATCCAAAGGAAGGCCATTTTGATGAGAAGAGGACAGGGGTCAAAAGAAGGGGGGGAAAAAAAAGATAAAATAGGCAATTGTTTGTATGGCCCCAAAGATTTAGAAAAACAAATTTTAAAGAGTTAGCCATTTATAAAGGTGAATATTATTTTCTAAACTATTTCTATACTACCCCCAGGTACCACTATACCCCACCTTTTATCCTTAATCACTAATTTTTCTCTACTATCTAAGAAATACAAAATCGGTAAAACCAACAAAAAGATATGAGTTATTTTCACCCTGATACTTTTACTTAGCTTGATATTTTTACTTGAGTCATTCAGCTAAGAAAATTTCCTCTATGTAGAAGGCTGAAACATTAGTGCCTTTCTTTAAAAGCTGGTAGAGTGAATAATTCCACTTTCTGTGCTGTGACTCTCCTCATTTTTTATGTACGAGTATGCAACAATTAATTTCTGTGCTAGAATTATGGCTGCATTTAGACCCATGTGAAATAAACTGGTTTCATTAGAGTAGCAATAGTCCTATCAGCAGTACACTACAATAAACAAGATAGCATTTCCCTCCTGAGCAAAGTAAAACAAATGAGGAAAGTTTGCATTTTTAAGTATCAAATATTAATAATAGCTTCAACTGAATCTTATCCCTTAAAAAACTCTGAACAGAGTTTTGGGGGTCTGTTCGTGATCTGTGCACGAGCAGCAGAGACAAAAATGTCTTTGTTTATTCCATTCATTAACATATTTCTGCTGTGGGTCCTTAAAACTGGGGAGTCCTAATTGTAACCATTGCTTCTGTTGGATTCATTATATTACCTCTACAAAGACCACTTCTTCTTCTCTGTTAATCATTATGTGGTGAAGTTGCCCATCAGCCATGTTTTTGAAATCAAAGGTAACAACATCAGGTTCTTGATATCTATTTAACTTGTACCTGATCTGCAAACTTCCTAAAGTAGGGGGGAAAAGTTATATTTTTGTTAAAATTGTATTTTAAGAATTATTTATAACAACTCAGAGTACATTTTTGGTTATTTATTGATTTCTAGAGCAATATTCACAACAGTTTGTTTGGGTGTATCCTGTCATAATTTCTAGAAGTCAGTTTCTATGTGAAATTGCACTATTTTCAAAATCAAGACCAAGCATGTTACTAATAAGCACTCTCTTTCCTGCAAATCCTTATTTTTTTCCCCTTAGAAGTCAATATGTAATTAAGCAAAGGCAAATCTCTGTACTAGCCTCTGACTTAAAAAAAATAAGACTTGGTATATTATGAAATGACAAACTACTGTGGNCTCTGAGGCAGGCTTATTCTTGGGAAACTGGGGCTCCTCTGATGGCTGACTGACTCAAGGGTTCCCCAAAGGCTTCTCAACCTTGCTCAGGCTGCACGAAAGTCAAGGATACTTCTGTCTAGTTTTCCCTCCCCTTCTCCTTCACTTGGAGGCCCCCTGGCATGACCATCTGATGGCTCTGCTGGTCTTGGCCAGCTCCCTCCCTATTTTCTCTTAATAAAATCCTCACGTGGCTAATTTGGCCTTGGCAACGGCTTCTTGGAGGACCTGGACTAACATAATAAGAGATTTCAAGATTGAGCAACTCTCTGGAAAATTAATAGTTCCATTTTAGCATCTACTTTACTATAAATTAAAATATGCGATATTAAAATATAATAATATTCTACATAACATTTTATTGGAATGTCATATAGCATGCCAAATTTGACCATAAATCATTAGTCTCCTTCGAAATGAACTCAGCATTAGTCCTCAGTCAAGATCGACACATTGCCAAATAAATTCTTTTTTACACTTTTAGGAGAATGAGTAGAAGTTCATTGCTGAATTTGGGCTTTATTCTTCTTTTCTAGCATGAGCAATACACATTTGAATAATATGTTATACTTGAATAAAAACATTAACACCTTTAATTCCATATTAATCTCCCTTATTTATTTACAAAAAGGGAAACAAATATTTATGTAATGAATGTTTTCTCCTGTTTGATTATTGCAATCCTTCTTATAGAATGTAGATCAGTCTCCCAATTGTTTTATAATATTTTTAACATATTTCTACTCACAAAAAAGTATTTTCATCAGTAACTCTGGCATTAAATTTGAAGATGTTATTTCATCAAAAATATAATTTTATCAACACTATACATAATTGTTAGAATTTTCTATCTTGTATTTTACATTTTTATGCAATGCCTCATCTCAGACCCTGCTAGACTAACTCTTGAGCTGTTGATTTGTTATATTTATTTGATTTTTTTATTACTATAGTAAAATTTATGTAATTTACACTAAGAAACTCACTTGGACTATTTCAGTTAAACTTCCACATATCTAGGTAGCA